TTTCTCTTTCCTCTTCCTTTTCCTCTTCCCTTTCAACTTCTGTTGGGTTCTTTTGAACCAAGCAGATCTGTTAGGTTCCATCGAACCCAACAGCTTTGCTAAGTTTTTTCCAACCCAACAAATTTGCTAAATTTTGATTGGTTTGGGTTTTCTTCTTCTTATAGTTGATTTTTGGTCTTTGTTTTAAGTTCTTTAGTTGGGTTTTTGTAGAAATTTGGGAGAAGATACCTTAATTTTTCTGGGTTTTTTGAAAGGCTGAGAGGGCTAGCGGCCATTTTGGGGAGATTCTGGGTTTATGTTTGTGTTATACTTGGATTTGATGTTAAAAGGTGTTTGGATTTACAGAAAGTGAAAGGAAAGGAAGAGGAAGAAGAAAGGGAAAAAGGAAAAACAAAGAAAGCCAAAAATGGGTGTTCAATTTCGAACCCAACAATCCCTAAGTTAATGGAACCCAACGAGTGCTGGTTCAATTTCAAACCCAGCAGCCGCTAGGTTCTTTCCTAAGTTTGAAAAAGTGGTGATGAAAGTGGACTCGAAGGAAAATTATTGAGGGAATTGATTGTTTGATTCAAAAAAATGGTAATGATAGTGGATTCGAAAGAGGCAAAGAGAGAGAAAAAGAATAATGAATGAAGAAGATTTGAGAAAGAGGATGTTGGATGAAGAAGATGAGGGTAAAATTGTAATTTTAAATGAATTAGATAATTATATTTTGACACATAATTTATTTATCCATGCTATCAAGCTGACATGTTACAGGATTTTGACATTTCATTGAGCTCTCGTGAGTTAATGGGACACGTAGAAGGATTTTAATGGAAGGATTAAGTTGTGGTCAAAATGATAAATAGTATGAATCAAATCAGGGACTTTTTGAGTTGAAAAACTCAGTCGAGGTCCGTAGAATAATTGAGGTATCAAAATGAGGGTTTAACTAATAAATAAATAATTTTACAATATAAATTACACTAAATTATATAATTTAACTAATGATTTATTAATTTGAATGAAAATGATTCACTTCTTTTTAGATAATATATTGAGTTTGAACCTTATAAATAAAAAAAATAAGTATGGGGAGAATTTTTTTTTTTTTTATATAAATTTCAATATAATTTCACTTTAAATTAATTAAAATTTAATATAAATTTTAAATATCAAAATTTAATAAATAAATATAACTTAAACTATTAAATAAATTATTATAATTTTTAAGTACTAAATTTTAATAAAATAATATATAACTTAAACTGTTTATTAAGATTCTTAAAAAAAAGTTTGTCAAAAAATAAAAAGATTCTTAAAAAAAGTAAGCATTACCTCTTAAGTATTCATTTTGGTCTTTTTCTCTCTTTCCTTGTGGCGCGTGGAGACGCATAAATTGAAATTTTGCATTTGACCAAGGTGAACAAAAAAAAATTCAGCAGCTTTCCAAACGACGTCGTACTTGAAGTTGTAAACCTGTTACTTCTGCATTCTCGAAGTCGAATGAAATGGAAGCTGTCCTAGATAACTGGAGAACGGCGGCACAAGAAGCGATCGGTGGACAAGGCCTAGAGTTACTACTTTTCCGGCTTCACACTCTGCTTAATCCCTGCTCAAATTCGCTCCTTTTTGTCCATCTTCATTCACAAACATGTCAAAGTCGCAGTGGAAATGGGAAAACGCAACTGCCGGTGCCCTTGCTGGCTTCGCCACCGTCGCCGTTACGCACCCTCTAGATGTCGTCCGTACCAGGTTTCAAGGTGACCCTTTTTCCCATTTCTCCATAGATCAATTACATTTTACTCTCTCCTGCGCTCATGCATCTGTTTCTGGTTCAATTTGATTCTTCAGTTAACGATGGTCGAGTTCCGAACCTCCCAACTTACAAGAGCACTGCTAACGCTCTTTTAACAATAGCCCGTCTTGAGGTTTGCTTTCACTCTTTCCTTTTTTATGCACACCGTAGCTTACTATTGTGTACTGTAGTCAAAAGGTGGTCTTTTTCTTAATCTATCAACTGCAGCGTTTAAGGGGTTTTTATGCTGGCTTCTTTCCTGCTGTTCTCGGGTCATCTGTTTCTTGGGGCTTATATTTCTTCTTGTAAGTGCCAATTAATTAAGTCTTTATTGTGCATGCCTTCAACATACAATAGTGAAAGAGAAAAAAGCATTGCTTGCTAATCTGTTTGGAATTCCATTTGTGTCTCAGTTTGTTAAAATACAGGTTTTTCTGTTTGTAGCTATGGCAGAGCCAAAGAAAGGTATTCTAGGAACAGGGATGAGAGGCTGAGTGCCGGTCTTCATCTTGCTTCTGCTGCAGAAGCTGGAGGTCTAGTGAGTACTTGAACTTTTAAGTCTAACAACTTGACATTGAAGTGTAGTTGAAGGTTCATTCCTGTTGACATAAATCTCAAGCCAAATACTAAAGTTACTCAAATAGAATTTTGTTATGAGTGAAATTTATTGAAAAATTTAGACTTTAAATCTGTTATGGACTTGGGAGGACAAAAGTAGAATACAAAATAGTCTTCCCCTAAATTTGTCTATCTGACATTCTAAATATGAATTGCTAAGACAAAATAAGACAATTTTTCCAAATATTTTCTTGGGGAAGTATATGTTATCTTTGCAGCTGATTTGAAAATTTAGTTCTTCTGGTACCACTAGTTCTATATTGTATTGATGTCTAATTGATTGTAAATAGGTCACGATTTTCTCCTTTTAATGGTTTCCATTTTCTGGATTGGTCAGGTTTGTTTGTGCACAAATCCCATTTGGCTTATAAAAACAAGGTTGCAGCTTCAGACTCATCTTCATCAAAATCGACATTATTCTGGCCTTTATGGTCTGCTTCGTATCTTGTGTTAATTTCCTATAATGTGCTCCTAGAGATACCCTTTTCTCTGGTGACTCATAATCAATTTTGATTTCAAGTTGCAAGCAATGAACTAGCTTTCAATATCAATCTTTTGGATATATAGCTTGATCCTATTTCTGGATTGCTTTCCTTGGCAATTATATTTCCGAAATGATTTTGTATAAATATGGTACAAGGACTTTGGTTGAAAATTGAGCTTACTTTTAATTGATTGATTAACAAAACATACTGTGTTTATAGCTTGGAGATGTAGAACATTTTTCTGTCAGCAGCCTTATCGTAAAATTTATTGAGGCTGTTCTTTTCACCTTGAGCCTGAACCTTACAACCTGTTTTTCTAGTTCATTTTATGTTCTTTCCTATTGCTTGCTAATTTCTTCAAAAATCCTTTATGATTTAAAACTTTCAGATGCCCTAAGAACCATACTAAAAGAGGAAGGATGGACTGCACTCTATAGAGGGATTGTTCCTAGTCTTTTGTTGGTAGGTTGTCCATCTCTAAGTTGTTATTCCATGCTTCTTTCTGTATCCATATTGATTTTTGTTCAATTTTGTGCTTTGGTGGAGGCATAAGACAGTGTTTACTTGTATGGTCATTACAAAAGTAGGCAGGATAAACTGTCCAAGTTGTGATGGTTGACACTGTTGTGGACTATCTTAAGTGATTTTAGAACCAAAGTGGCATATCAGTTAATTTTTATATACATCTGTTTCTCCTGGGGTGGGGGATGCTAAAAATATCTGTTTGCAGCTTTTCTTATGCGTGCACTTAACTGGGCCTTATCTTGACTCCAGCAGGTTTCCCATGGAGCTATTCAGTTTACTGCATATGAGGAACTTCGTAAAGTTATTATTGACTTTAAACAAAGTAAAAGGAATCCTGAAAGTTCTAGTAATCTGTTGGTGAGTTTCTGTATTTGATGTTTGACAGAAAATTAGAAGTACATGACAATGAACATTGTAGTGCATTTGAGCTGATATAAAACCATTTCTAATGGCTCCTGGCATTTGAACAGAATTCAGTTGATTATGCTCTCCTTGGAGGATCTTCTAAAATTGCTGCCATTCTTTTTACTTATCCAGTTCAGGTATTCATTCTTGGTACTAATTTCAAGTCTAGTATATGCTAATCTTCTTTCCGCCAATAATTTTGTCTTATACCGATGGATAAATTGTTTTACAGGTTATTCGAGCTCGATTGCAGGTAAAAAGAACTGTACATCTTTCCTTTTAGGAGAACTTAGCTTTCTTAAGACTGCAGGGATATTCCTTCATCAATGAATGATAGAAGTGGATAGCCAGTAGAGCTGACTCAAGATATTTGTGACTTTTTATTTTCTTCTCATCATAGCAGGAATCAGGTATAATCTTCTTTCTTTTGCAGCAACGACCAAATAATGAAGGAATTCCAAGATACATGGATAGTTGGCACGTTGTGAAAGAAACTGCAAGGTGAGAATAAACTCAACTGCCAATTTAGCCATCATGTATTACTGGTGAAAGAAAATCGAAACTAAAACTGCCATTAACAACTTGCTGCTTCTTCATTTCTCGGTCATGCTTGACGTCCAAGAGTCATTGTTACATTAAAAGGCAGTTCTTTGTTATTTCCTTCATCTGCATCTTAGTTTTACTTTCTTCTGTTTACCTGCAGATTTGAGGGTTTTCGAGGTTTCTACAAGGGCATCACAGCGAACCTTCTGAAAAACGTCCCCGCATCTTCAATAACATTTATTGTATATGAGAATGTCCTCAACTTATTAAGACTAGTAAAAACGAATGACTGAAAATTTTTGTTTATACCTTAACCATTTGTTACATTCTTTATTCCTTAGTTGAAATCAATATTAGGCTGAGTAGAAAGAGAAGAAATAAGATGTACTTGAGAGAGATTATATTGGGGAAAAAATTTCCCATTTTTTGTTTTTTATTTTCCACATTTAACATAAAAGGCTGCATGGATGCAGAAATGAAGTAGCTGATGTTTTCTTTGACATTGATCAATACATGCTGATATTATTCCAAAGTCTAGTTTCAACTTATGCTTCTCATGTTAAAGAAAAATCAATCAGGATTCTCCATATATGCCTTTTTTTTACAGTATAGAAGCAGAACTGCACAGCAATGATTCTGAAAACAAGCACTCCAGGCTTCTAATCTGCAGAGACTTTGTGAATAAAGGACAGAATTTCCTGCGACACTTGTTGGTGTTTCTCTTCTTGGATAAAATGGTGACCATCCAGAATGACCACTTCAAGGTTAGGAACAAAACTCCTTAATGCTTCTCCTTCAACATATTGTCTTGTACCATTAACTTCAAATCCTATATCCTTGTCACCCAGAAGAATTTTGGTTGGAACCATGATTTTTGATCCTTGCCATGGTGCAGTAAGCTCCCAGTTCCTGTCCAGCAATTTAAACATCAACACAATCAGTACCCAAAGATATGAATCATAATCTCAATCCAAAGCTCCTGTCTCATTACTTACAAGTCCATGGCACGGTAGTAATTGAAGGCACCAGTGAAGCCAGATTCTTGAAACTTGTCTGCATAGACCTGAAGTTCTTCTTCTGTAATCCATGGTGGTAACCATGATGGGGTCTCCAGGTAATCAATGATCTCCATCCCCGCAGGAGCTATCAAGTTATCTGTCTTTGTTATCAGGAAGAATTTCTTCATTACAGCCAAATAATCATACCTTGCAAAAGCCCTTTCTGCTCGTCCTGGTTCCTGCTTTGAAAATCCCATAGGACAGTTAAACAAATATATGCAAATGTATGTCTTGTGTATTGTGTGTACAGGAAAATGAAGAGACAGAATATATACCTGGAACTGGGAGATGTAGGACCAATCTCCGAACAATTGTCTGTAGAATTCAGTAAATTTAACTTCAGGATTTCTTGGAAAGTAAGGAGTAGACAAGCTGATGAATCCCTTGACTCTGTCGGGACGGAACAAGCATAGATGCCAACCAACGATGGCTCCCCAGTCATGTCCCACCACAAAAGCCTTGTTACAGAGAAATGTCAGACGCCACCCTTTTGCACAACGCTGAGGAGAAAAGGCAGTGGAATTAATGTTGTGTGTGTGTGTGTGAATAAGTGAATACCTGTTGTTGACGAAAATGATCGAGCAACCCAATGACGTCTGCAACAAGGTGCATGACAGTGTAGGATTCGGGGCTGAGAGGAGAGTGTGAGTCACCATAGCCTCTGAGATCAGGAGCAACAACGTGGTAACCGTGGTTGGCAAGGAAAGTTATCTGGTGGCGCCATGAATACCAGAGTTCTGGGAAGCCATGGAGCAAGAGAACCAGAGGCCCCGTTCCTTGCTCTGCTACGTGCATCCATATTCCATTTGTTTTGATGTTCTGATGAATTATCTCGTTCATAGCAACTCGCTTGCTTTCACTTGAAAGAGAGATGGAAACAGTGGTCTTCAGGGGCGGCCGGATGAAGGTTGTACTTTATTCATCGTTGGCCTGGATATGGATGAGGCAGTTGGGAGATCCGCAAAGTCAAAAACCTACAAACTATAAAATTATAGCCCACATTTAAATTTGTGGCTGCGGAGAAAATGTCACTCTCTCCTTTAATTAACCTTTTTCTTTTTATATTCAACTCCCACCCAAAAGATACATTCCACCTGCCCAAGTTTTCTTCAAGCTCTTTAGACCTCTGCTTTTCCATTGATTCTTTTGAGGATGAACTCATAAATGAAAAGAGTTTTTTTCTTTTTCATTTTTTTTCTCTAAGATTATCTGAAATTTAAAATCAAAGATTCTGACAATGGTCTAGAGTTAATGCGCTTATAAGTTATAAAGTACCATGCTTCTCTTGCATGGTTTACCCAGCAAGAGATAAGTAAGTTTGTTCCTTACAAGTTGGTAAAACCAGAAAGAGTTTCTTCCTTTACAAATACCAGGCATGTGCCATTACAAGAGTTATTAAGCATTTTGGGTAAGGAAAATGCTTTCTTCTCCACTTTGTTTCCCATTTGTCCTTTTAAGAAAGGAAGCCATCTATAAACTAACTTACACAATTGGTGAAATAAGATGTGCCCTGGTGACTAGACTTTATCATCATGGAACCACCACCTGGTCTCCTTTGGGGACCGGCCATTTCTACAGTTCCTTACGTAGCGGTCATTGTCTTCAGGACGTTGCTGCAAGAAAGGCCAAAGAAACTCAAAATAAGGAGCAGACTTATGCAAAGATCTTAACATGCCCATCCCCTAAGATCTGCGATCTAATCGTAACATTTCAAAAGCATTTAAGGCATACAAATTATCTGCCAAAACAAAAACCAAATATATACCTTCACTGTTGAGCTTGACAGCATGGAGAGAATGCTGATACAGATAGAACTAACTGTCATGGCAGGGGACCATGAGTCATACAAGATATCTACAAAATTCAATTGAACACACATTACATGTACGTTCTGCTGCAAGCTAGGCAATCTAACATGGGTAAACGTTTAGA